TTCTCTTCAGCGTTCAAATCTAAATTTACTTAAATATGGAAAACAAGAAGAGAAAGAGGCACACTGTTTTTTGTCTGCAGTACTTGCCTAAATTCTCCTCAAATAAGAGAGAGAAAAGAATGGTATTCAAGAGGAATGAATCTTTTTCTCTCCTTCACTTGTGCCACTGGTATACAGGCAGCAATGCTAGCCCAAATAGTTAGCACAGACTACAACCGAGACACTTTCCTTTACTCATCGATTTATTGCCAATACTACCCAGGTTGACTTATTAATCAGCAGATTTATTGATGCTTCGATTGACACCACGAGTGCTCGGTGCAAAGGGAATCNGCTTGGCCACAAAAGCAGGCACATCTGATAGTAAAGTTCACTGAAGGTCACCTGTGGCATTAACTTTCTTCTCCTCTTGCAGTAAAATGCAGTCTACAGCTCCACATGGTCTACATCAATACATTTGCCCGTACAACTGCTAATTTGCATCCGTCCGCCGATGCATTGTCCACATTCTACAGTGCATCAAGCAGCACATCAGGGCTAAACTACGCTCGACGGCAGTCTGCACCACCAGGTCGTCTGCAGATTCTGCTGCTGTTGCTAGTTCGATTGTTATGTTAACTTTGCAAGCATGAGGCTCTCTCTTTCTCTCTCTTATTCCCCAGAAAGTCGCCAGCAGGCTGCTTCTCAAATCGAGAATAGAATAGCTTCCAGGCATTCTTGCCCATTCGATTGTCAGATGCAACGTCAACGAAACGAACGGCAACAACTGGTGAAGTAGAAGAAGACGAAGAAGAAGAAGAAATGGATGCAGACGATGCCTGCCTGCCTGCCTGCCTATTCTACCGGCACAGAGTGCCTAAACCATTGCCAACATGCCGTTCCTGAGGCTCTCTTTATCTGCTGCGCTCTCCTTCTTGGAATGTGTTAAAGTATTTCATCCCTCTGCGGCTCGATTGTCTACTGCGGCTGCCACACACTCTCCCTCACTTCCACTGCGCCCAGCACAAATACCAGAAATAAGTGAGATGGAGTACTGAAACACACGTCGGTGCAAAGCAAAGCCTTCTTCTCTAATTCTCTCCATTTTTCCCTTTGTACAACCGTTGTCGTATGGTCGAAGACAGAAGTGAGATAGAGAAGAGAAAAGAGAAGAAGCTGACTGATTCCCCAAACACAGGGGCAGCAGCAGCAGTAGACTTGTGAGAGGAGGATAGAGACACCAAAATAACAGCAGCAGCAGCAGAAGCAACAGGAGCTAGCAGAGAATCAGCGGATAACCAGGCTGTAAGGCAAAGCGATGAACACCAATGCCAGCTCTGGCTGTGAGCAGAAAGAAGTTGTGCTGGCAGCATCAGCAGCAGCACCACCGTCTGGTTTGCCCTGCCAGCCATCGCAGAGAATACCGAATCTCCTTCTCTTGCGTTTTCCGAAGCCTCAGCCTCAGCCTCAGCCTGGGCGTATGCTTGACCCAAAAATGGCTGCTCCCACAGCAAGGTAGTGATGGAGGCGCCCGGTAGCACGCCAGCAGTCAAACAGGCAGTCAGTCAGACAAGCAGCAAAGCAGCCACAAACACTCTCACTCTCACTCACAGACTCACACACTCCTCTCGCTCGTCTATTTTCGATATCGTCTATTCGGTGGACTGGATTCTCCCCTTCCTCGAATCGCCTACCACACAATGCTCCTCTGCTGCTCGCTCGTCAGCCACCACCGCAGCAGCTCTACTCAACTTCTGCTGCTGCTGCTGATGATGATGAGCCGAGTGACTTGTATGGCAAGCTGGGCGTCACCGTGACGTCGAATAGGAGAATAGAAGGAAGAAAGTAAAGGGAGACATGGAAAGACACACACACAGTCGCATCGGAAAGAGCGAATGGCACTGGCAGCTAGTGCGGTAGTTCGGTAGTGCATGGTCGGCGTCTTCCCGTCTTTCCTTCTCCTCTGTGGGCCATACCACTGCCCCACTACCCGGGACGGCATCGGCGCCCATTTTCGAGCATCGTCGCTTAAAAGTGATCTTCACTAGTCACAGTGTTCACATTCTGTGCTGTGCAGCTTCTAAGTGTGTAAGTGTTTGTTTCGTTTCGCTGTCGAGCTGTTTAGCTGTTTCCATTGCTCCCTGCTACAAACTGTCGACGACGACGAGGACGACAAAGGAAGAAGAAGAAGTGAGCATCAAGATCGCGTTTGTGTGTCCACTCGTTTGTGCACCCGGTGTCTCTCTGTCTGCACTAGACGTGCACAGTCTACCTCCCTTCCATTCACCCCCTCTCCTTCTTTCGTCAGTCCTCGTCGACAGCTCTCCAACCTTTTACCGCTTCATCATCAGCTTCCAGTTGAATCAACAGCCAACTAACAAGAGCCCCTCTTTCTTCTTCCTCTTCCTCTTCCTTCTTTCCTACCTTTCGACACAGGGAGAAGACACAGTTGTTGTGGTGCTGCGCTTCCATCAGCTCAACCTATTTGAAGACTCTGTCCCGTTGCAGAGAACCCCGTTTCTGTTCACCCCCTTCTTCGTCTTCTTGTTCTGACCTTACCACCAGCAAGCAGCAACAATGGCCGAAGACCCCGATCCGAGCCAGTATCTGATCGTCTCCCTGGAGATGAAGCGAAAGGACCAGACCAAGCCGTACGATGGCAAGAAGATGGTCTGGGTGCCTGATGACAAGGAGTGCTACCTGCTGGGCAACATCGTCAGCACCAAGGGAGACATGGTCACCGTCGAGATCAAGGGTGAAGAGGTATGACCGCCATTCTAGTGATATACACATAGGCAAAAGGAAAAATTACTTTTGTCTTATCTTATAATCTTTTTAGCCTTCGTTGTGCAATTGAGTCCTCTTAGGTCAAATACTTTCAGTTAACAGATTTCCTGCAGTTATCTTCGTTAGCAACAAATGAGTAAAACAGTGCATGCCAATGTCAGTTCAGGATCGTCCTTTCAGTCAGCTGATCAGTGTTTTGTTTTGATTCGATGATAACCAGTTTTCCGTTGTGTTTAGCGAACAATGAAAAAAGACCTCCTCCAGCAAGTGAATCCTCCCAAGTTTGAAAAGACCGAAGACATGGCTAATTTGACGTACTTGAATGATGCCTCGGTCTTGCACAATCTTAGGGAGCGATACATTAACAATATGATCTATGTAAGTACTGCTAATCACATTACTAATGCTCTCTTTCTTTTTGTCTTTCTCTCTGCCCCCACCATTACCGTTATCGTTACCCCCCTTTCGTACTTAATTCTCCATTCCCCCATTTCCGTTACTCTCCATAATTCAATAACTTCCCTACGGTGCCCCCAAACTATCAATTTCCCATATCTCGTACCATACTCGTTCTACCAAATACCCAAACCAAACCAAACACCCCCTTCCCTCAATCATGCCCCAAACAGAAAACCCTGAAAAAAGATCTGTTGCAACAAGTGAACCCGCCCAAGTACGAGAAGACGGAAGACATGTCCAACTTGACCTACTTGAACGATGCCTCGGTCTTGTACAATCTGAAAGAGCGTTACGTTAACCAGCTGATCTACGTAAGAATCGAGACCCTTCCCTGGCACTCTTCCCCCTCTCCTTGTGCCGGAAGTGGTCACCCTAGTGACCCCACTCTCTGACCCTAAATTAGTTCACCTCAACATCACCCAACTCCCATAACACCCGTTCTAAAGTACCCCACCCCACCCCAATAGTATCTAGTAGTAGAAGTACTAGTAGTAGTAGTAGTAATAGTAGTATTAGTATTAGTAGTAATAGTAGTATTAGTATTAGTAGTAATAGTAGTATTAGTAGTTACTTCAACAGTAGTGTGACCCAGCCCCTAACTGAACACCCCTTCCCCTACCCAACCCTCTTTGACCCATCTCTAGTAGTACCTAACCTCCTCAATTACAGTTGTTCACTTAACTAATTCACCTTTTTTCTTTCTCACCTATTACCACAATGCTCACCTCACCTGTAGACCTACTCTGGTTTGTTCTGCGTGGTAATCAACCCCTACAAGCGCTTCCCCATCTACACCAACCGAGTAGTGCAGATGTACCGTGGCCGTCGTCGCACTGAAGTGCCGCCCCATCTCTTCGCCATCTCTGACGGCGCCTACACCGAGATGTTGACCAGTAAGTACCACCAGTGCACGCACACACACACGCCTACACACAATGCAATGCAATGCATAGGGTGCTCACTCACTACCAGTTACCTTCTCGCGTCCTACATTTTCCCACTTCCGCCCGTCTTTGCAGTCAGTCAGGCACAGTTCTCTCTCTTTCTCCTCTGTTTGCGTTTCTCGCCTTAATCGCTCTACCA